GGTTTTTTTGGCTATTTTAACCACAAAAAACAAAATAGGCTATTTTAGCTATAACAAACAAAACATCACATCCAACCTATAATTATTACATTCTTCTCTCATAAAAAAACTCAAAAAAGTCAAAAAGTCAAAAAGCCCTTCCTAAACCAAGCTTTTAAACCCAGGCTAAAATAGCCAAAAAAGTCAAAAAGTCAACCCACTTCCCAAACGGAGGCTTAGTCACAAAAGATAAAATAGATTATTTTAGTCACAACAAACAAAATATCACATCCAATTCATAATCATTACACTCTTCTCTCACAAAAAAAGTCAAAAAAGTTAAAAAGTCAAAAAATCTTTTCCAAATCAAGCTTTTTAGCTTAGGTTAAAATAATTAAAAAAATTAAAAAGTCAAAAAACCAACCCACTTTTCAAACGAAGCCACGTAAAATGAGAATTTTGGAATATTGTATTTAAAAAATAAATAAATTCGTATATAGTTTATCTGCAAAATAGTCATCATCATTAAACTTTTTATTTTTATTTTTAAACGCAGTCATCATCATTATTTGGCTATGAGTATAAAATGCAATATTTTTTAGTTAAAAAAGAAAATGATTTTAAAATAAAACATAATTAACCTTTAATCAAATAAATTACATCGCCATAAAAGGACTTGCAGTCAAACTAATTACTTACAATCATAAAAATAATAAAATTCTAATAAATATTTAAAAAAATAAAATGATAATGATATTAATAAGACATCAAATTTTTGCAAGATAAGACAAAGTTGGAAGTCTTTAAATTTTCCCAAAACAAGTTAGAGAGAATCCAAAGGACCAAAAGGTGATGTAAGTGGGAGGGAATAATTAACATGTAATGTCTAATTAATATTAATGCTTTATTAAACTAATAATACATTTTCCTTCCCCAATCACTCAACACAACAAGCAAACAAACAGAATTCGACGGACAGACATATGAAGAGAGAAATTAAACTCCACTCACGTTGATACCTTCTCCGATAAAAATCAAGACAAATGATGATATAAATAAAAAATTTATACAAAAAATTAAATTTCATTTGTCAACTATATATTTTAACTAAAAAATTAAAAAGATATTATAAATTATCATTTCACTCTTTTTATTTTTTTACATATTTTTTTTATAAAAAATTAAAAAATTACTAAAGTAACATATTCCCAAACGTAATATAAATAAAATGATAAATATGTATCCGTTAATTTTAAATCAAAAAGATTCATTAAAATGACTTACAATTATTTTTTTTTGAAAGAATTCTTGTGAATAAAACACATTATCCTCTATAGTTTTTATATTTACTATATATAACTTTACTCATAAATATTTTATAAAAGTTTGTACAAAATGATGTGAAAATTCTATGCATTTCTTTTAAATCTGAAAACTTATAGGTAGCTTATTATCATAAAATGGTATTTTCCTAATATTCTTATGAATTATTTTAAATAACATTTTATTTACAAATCATTTTTCTAAATTCACTCAAACCATGACACATTTTTTTCACCGTCTTTAATACATTTCACAAAATTATGTCTTCAAAGTTTATATTTTAAATAATTATTAATAATTCTTAAATATAATATGACATTGTTCAATGATTGAATAAAAAACAAATAGGACAATGCTATTCACATTTATAGTTAAAAATAATAAATAACTCATCTAATTAATAACACCAAATAAACAATATAAATAATGTCATATAATTCTAAATAATTATAAGTATACATAATCTTAACACCAAAAAAAAAAAAAAAGTTAGATATAACTTTTTTGTAATGCATGTAGGTAAACTCTATGAAATTACCTAATAATTTTTAGTTGGGTCATTTTTTGATATATCCTCTTTCTTAGTGTTTTACTCCACTTAATCCATATTCTTTTTGAGTATTCATCAAGTACTCTTTAATATAATATGATCAAATCATCATTTCTAATTTTTTTTGTACATATTTATATTTTGAAACTAATACATAACAATAATTTCTCATTTTATGGAGAAAATCTCTCCCTCATTCCATAGAGAAAATCTCTCCGCATTCTATAGAGAAAATCTCAAATTATGAACTTTAAACCTTTTTATAATTTGAAAATTTTAAAAATAACCCAACAAAAAATCTTAATGACAAGCAAAATACAATGTGAATGTTCACAGTAAATAACAAACATACAACTAACTTTTAAAAAACAAAACACATACTAAAATACAATGTGAATGTTCACAATAAACAACAAACATACAACTAACTTTCGAAAAACTAAAATTCATACCAAAATACAATATGAATATTCACAATTTATAATTAACATACAACTAGCTATAAAAATAATAATTCATACCAATGTAAATATTTATACTGCAACGTGAAAACATAAAACAAAATTAAAAAAAGTAAAAATCGACTATTTCAATTGTTCAATGGTAACAAAAATGATTGTTCAACTAATAAGTATAGTAACAAAAACAACAAATATACAATTAACTTTCGAAAAACAAAACTTATATTAAAATATAATGTGAATATTCGTAATTTACGATTAATATATAACTAGTTAAAAAAAAATACCAATGTGAACATTCACACTACAACATGAAAACATAAAATAAAATCGAAAAAAGTAAAATCAACTATTTCGATTGTTCAACAGTAACAAAAATAATTGTTCAACCAACAAACATAATAAAGAAAATAACAAAATACAACTAACTTTCGAAAAATTTCAAAAAAAATTCATATCAAAATACAATGTGAATGTTTACAATTTACAACTAACATACAATTAACCTTAGAAAAACTAGATTCATACCAATGTAAACATTCACACTGCAACATGAAATAAAATTGAAAGAAAAAAAAAAGACTATTTCAATTGTTTAATGGTAACAAAAAATGATTGTTTAAACAAGTAGTATAGTAACAAGTAATAAATAACCAATAGACTTTCAAATAATGTGAAACGTGAACATTTACACTAATTGACAAACAAATAGAAATAACGGCAACGATAAAATTATAAATCCAAAAAAAAAAACTCAATCACTTTAAAAATAAAAAAAAATATCACTCACATCCACATTCTCATCTTTATCATTATCACTATCATTAACAATCTATGTAATTTTATCATTCTACCAGTCAAAATTAAACCAAACCCATCTTTGAAAAATATGTTTGTAACAAAATTAACTGAATATAAATAGAGTTTTGATTTACAATAATGGAGAAACATAGAGTTTCAAACACAGAGTAACAATCAACGAACACAGAACTTTGAACATAGAGTAACATAATATTATTTCACCACCATGTGTAAATTAGAGTTTTAAACCCTACCAAATAGGGAGTTTCGAAACCCTAGCACAATGAAACAATACCACAAATGTGAATGAAACTGATCAAAAAGAAAAATGTGAATAATGGTAACTACCAAAATAGAGATAACAACAAAAAGAAAATATGTATATTATTTTTTTATGTAATACATATTAACAATAGACATAAGGGTATAATAGTCTAACAAATAATATAAAAAAAAAAGACCACATGAAATGAAAGTATAAACTCAGTTATAATTTTTCTTACTGGACTTATAGGCTTAGAGCAACTCTAAATTAGATTTATCAAAAAAAAAAAAAAAAACGCTATTTGGTTCTGCCCTCTCTCTTTGGCACTTGAGGCGTTTTGTATTTGATTTTGTGATTGACATGTGTTTAATATTATATTAGATACTGTAATTAAATTTTGTGTTTATGAAAAAAAAAATCATACTTTTTTTGGGGGCCTATTTTAGAAAGTGATTTTATTTTTGGATTATTACTTTTTTTTGAAAAAATATATGAAAAAGTAAAAAAATAATATAATCTAAATAAGTTAATAAATTAATAAATTGACATTTTTTTTTAATGGTTAACATAGGCCTTGAATTGAAAAAACCCATACTTGTATTGTTTGATTAAATCATGTGTTCAATATTTATTTGTCTCAAAATATTAATTTATTTTAAAAATTTAATGATTAAAATAATATAAATTTTTTATTTTACATTTCTTTTAAATTAATTAATAAAAAAAATATAATTACGACAGTTAATAATTTTGTTTTTTTTAAATGTAATAATTATATTACTAAAAAAAATTAAATTCTCTTAAAGAAAACTATTATTTTAGAATGAAAGAGTATTCAGCCTCCGTTTGGGAAGTGGGTTGACTTTTTGACTTTTTGACTTTTTTGGCTATTTTAGCCTGAGCTTAAAAGCTTGGTTTGGGAAGGGCTTTTTGACTTTTTGACTTTTTTTGTGAGAGAAGAATGTAATGATTATGGGTTAGATGTGATGTTTTGTTTGTTATGGCTAAAATAGCCTATTTTGTTTTTTGTGGCTAAAATAGCCAAAAAAGCCTGCAAACCCACTTGCCAAACACAGGCACTTTGTTTGGTTTTACTTTTTTGAAATAATTTTCAAAAAATTTTACTTTATTATTTTTTGTATTTTTTTGTATTTTTAATGAATTTTTTTAATATTTTAAACAATTTTTTTTTAATTTTTAGACACACCTAATATAAATTCATTTTAAAAGTATAATTTTTGTGAAAAAAATTAATTTTTAGACACACCTAATATAAATTCATTTTAAAAGTATAATTTTTGTGAAAAAAATCTTTAAAAAATTCATTAAATACAAAAAATATAAAAAAATATAAAAATTTAACATATTTTTTTATATTTTTATATATTTATTAAATTTTTAAAATATTTTTTTATAAATATTTTACATTTTAATATATCTAAATAAAATATATCTAAAAAAATAAAAAAAGTACTTAAAATTTAAAAAATATTTATTAAAAATAAAAAATACGAAAAATAAAAATTTAATTCAAAAAACTGAAACAAAAAATACTATTTATTTTTAATTTTGTGATCTAATTTTATATTTGTAAAAAAAAACTCCATCATTGATATAAACTACAATAATTTGCCATTGCATCCTCTCTCTTTCTCTGACAATTTCAGGGTCCTATCCATCCATCTTTTCTCTATCTCTCTGCAACTCTCTGCACAAAATTTCCTTGTCATCTTCCCCTAGATTTGTCAATTTTCACTCAAACCCTTTCTCTAAAGAATTTCACCTTTCGACTCTCTCTCTCTCTGTCTCTCGCGATCATGCTTCAAAGTCTAGTACCCCAAACCCCCCTCAACCCCAATCCCAGCCCCAATTCCACCAACTCCGCCATGCGAACCAAGCGCAGCCTCGACCTCGCCGCTGCCGGTGGCGAGTCCTCCTGTGAACAGGACGAGGATTCTTCAAGGAAGCGCCGGAATTACTCCGTCGACGAAGCCACAATTTCCGGCGAGAAGACCACCGGAGAACACGAGGAACGAGGCGAAGAAGCGGTGGTGATCGAAGGAGAGTCGTCAGGGTTGCGACTGTTGGGGCTGTTGCTACAGTGCGCCGAGTGCGTCGCCATGGACAACCTGGACGACGCGAGCGACCTCTTGCCGGAAATCTCGGAGCTCTCGTCGCCGTTCGGTTCTTCACCTGAGCGAGTGGCGGCGTACTTCGCCGAAGCATTGCAGGCTCGGATCATAAGCTCGTGCCTCGGAACCTACTCGCCTCTCACCATCAAAGCCCTAACCCTAGCTCGTAGCCAGAAGATCTGCAACGCTCTTCAATCCTACAATTCAATCAGTCCTCTCATCAAGTTCTCTCACTTCACAGCCAATCAAGCTATCTTCCAAGCCCTAGACGGTGAAGATCGCGTCCACGTCATCGACCTCGACATAATGCAAGGCCTTCAATGGCCAGGATTGTTCCACATCTTAGCTTCCCGATCAAGAAAAATCCGATCGATGCGAATCACCGGAGTCGGATCGTCGATCGAGCTCCTCGAAGCCACCGGTCGCCGACTCGCCGACTTCGCGAGTTCACTCGGTCTCCCCTTCGAGTTCCAACCGCTAGAAGGCAAAGTAGGAAACATAACCGATCTGAGTCAACTCGGAGTCAGATCGGGAGAGACTACAGTAGTTCACTGGATGCACCACTGCCTCTACGACATAACTGGGAGCGATTTAGGGACGTTGAGATTGTTGACTTTGTTGAGACCCAAACTCATCACCATGGTCGAACAAGATCTGAGCCACGGAGGTAATTTCCTAGGTAGGTTCGTCGAAGCTTTGCATTATTACTCTGCTTTGTTCGATGCTTTGGCCGGAATGGACGACGACGGCGGCGGAGGCAGTGGCGGTGGCGGAGCCGCCGTACACGGCGGCGAGAGGCACTTGGTGGAGCAGCAGTTGTTTGGATGCGAGATCAGGAACATCGTGGCCGTTGGTGGGCCGAAGAGAACGGGTGAGGTGAAAGTAGAGAGATGGTCCGATGAGTTGCGGGCAAACGGGTTCCGACCCGTTTCGTTGGCTGGTAACCCGGCCGCCCAGGCCAACTTGTTGCTAGGGATGTTTCCTTGGAAAGGTTACACATTGGTGGAAGAGAACAATGGGTGTTTGAAGTTGGGTTGGAAGGATCTATCTTTGTTGACTGCCTCTGCTTGGCAGCCGTCCGATTAGATGATTTCTATAATCACCCCGATCTGATCGATGGCTGTCGCGGTCGCTATCGCTGTTTGGGTGGGTGCTGTTTTATTGGATCATAATCATAAAAATCAAAAAACAAAAAGAAATTTGTAGTAAAAAAATTGAGAAATGTTTGTGTGGCCACCAAAGTTCTCTTTCTTTTTTTCTTTAAATAACTGGGGGTCTGTTTGGTTACATTAGTTAGAACGAGGGCAATTTTTTCATAAACAAAAGGTAGCATATTATTATTTATTAATTAATTTATTAGTGAAGTCTGTCTGGTTCACTTCATTGTAATTCCTTTTTAAGGACGTGTATTTGCTTATGTTACGTTTGGGAAGTGGGTTGGCTTTTTGGCTTTTTGGCTTTTTTGGCTATTTTAGCCTGGGCTTAAAAGCTTGGTTTGGGAATGGCTTTTTGACTTTTTGGCTTTTTGGCTTTTTTGAGTTTTTTTGTGAGAGAAGAATGTAATGATTATGGGTTGGATGTGATGTTTTGTTTGTTATGGCTAAAATAGCCTATTTTGTTTTTTGTGGCTAAAATAGCCAAAAAAGCCTCCAACCCACCTACCCAAACGGTGCCTGTGTATATACATAAATTTGAATGGTAAAATCAAAGGTGGCAAACGGACTGTTTCGAGTGGTTTAAAATTGATTATACATTAAAAATAATACAATTCAAATTTGTTCATTTAATAAATGGAATGAGTTGGATTATCTATGAATTTGTCTTTACCATTCCTTTTTTTTAAAAAAAAAGAAGGAATGAGTTGGGTTAAATTGAGACATTGTTTGTCATAATCTAAAAAAGTTAAAAAGTTATTATTGTATTTAAGTCACATAATCTATCGATCATATCACTTCAAATTTAACTCATATTTCATAAAAAGTAAAAAATTACACTTATTTAAATAATCTCAAACCACTCTTAGAATTTAGAGGAATGTGACCAACTCATTTTTGTTATTATTATTTTTCCTGTGGAGATGGTGGTAGTGGCTATGGTTATAGTTGAGTGGCAGAGGTTATAGTAGAGGTGGTCTGGTGATGGCGATGATGGTGGTGTTGGCAATAATGGGGTGGTGGTGGCGGTTGCGGAGGTGGTGAAGTGGCAGGGTAGTGATGGTGGTAGTGGCAATAGTAATAGAGAAGGTGATACTTGTTTAAACAAGTATTCATGTACAATTCATTTAACCATAGGATGGTTGGCTTAGTAGGTAATAATTGGAGTCTAGAGGTTTGTTTTTTTTCTAGGTTTCAAATTCAAATTCCCTACTTAGTAAATGCACACTTTGTAAGTCTTATTTCAGAAGGTTTATTTGGGCTATAGGGGTTTAATCTGGCCTGCGTAAGCAGGTTTAGAATATCCTACATAACAAAAAAAAAAAAAAAATTACTAAACTAAAATTAGATTTAAAGTACAAGGATCAAATTGTTCAATTTAAAATAATAAAAACCAGAGATCAATTGTAATAGGATGTTGGTAATTGTAGTAGGAATTTTTTTGATACCTGTTTGTGTATATACATAAATTTGAATGGTAAAATCAAAGGTGGCAAACGGACTGTTTTGAGTGGTTTAAAATTGATTATACATTAAAAATAATACAATTCAAATTTGTTCATTTAATAAATGGAATGAGTTGGTTATCTATGTATTTGTCTTTACCATTCCTTTTTTTTTTTAAAAAAAAAGAAGGAATGAGTTGGGTTAAATTGAGACATTATTTGTCATAATTTAAAAAAGTTAAAAAATTATTATTTTATTTAAGCCACATAATCTCTTGATCATATCACTTCAAACTTAACTCATATTTCATAAAAAATAAAAAAGTATACTTATTTAAATAATCTCAAACCACTCTTAAATTTAGAGGAATGTGACCAATTCATTTTTTTTATTATTATTTTTCCTGTGGAGATGGTGGTAGTGGCTATGGCTATAGTCGAGTGGCAGAGGTTATAGTAGAGATGGTCCGGTAATGGCGATGATGGTGGTGTTGGCAATAATGGGGTGGTGGTAGCGGTGGCGGAGGTGGTGAAGTGGCAAGGTAGTGATGATGGTAGTGCCAATAGTAATAGAGAAGGTGATACTTGTTTAAACAAGTATTCATGTACAATTCATTTAATCATAGGGTGGTTGGCTTAGTAGGTAATGATTGGAGTCTAGAGGTTTGTTTTTTTCTAGGTTTCAAATTCGAATCCCCTAACTGGTAAATGCACACTTTGTAAGTCTTATTTCAGAAGGTTTATTTGGGCTATAGGGGTTTAATCTGGCCTGGGTAAGCAGGTTTAGAATATCCTACATAACAAAAAAAAAAAAAAATGTCCAATTCATTTAAATCCAATTCTAATTGAGTTTTCAAGATGCAATCTATTTAAATTTATTTGTAAATTTAGACAAAGAGATGAGTTTGCACGTGTTCAGACTAACTTTTTATCTCCTCTACGTTGCTTAATCTTTTGGCAATTAAGGCCTTGTTTGAAAAATTAATTATTTTAATTTTTAACTACTTTAGTAGATTAAAATATTTGTGCTTGAAAAGATGATTAAATTTTTTTTATAATTAGTTGTGATATTTATATGAAAAAAATAAAATTATTATGAATTTGATGTGATATTTTGTCTTATTAATTATTTTAATATATTTTATTTTTTTTATAAATTTTAACCCAAAAAGCAAAGAAAAGCCTTCGCCAAACAAGCCCTAAGTCTCTCCTAGGTAAGATATGAAGTTCTATTAAGCAGAATGAGGACAAAACTTAAATGGTTGTCAAGCGAGGACCACCGGTATTAAATTTAATACTAAATCACCCGATAAAACAAAAATAAAAATAAATAAATAAAGAGAAGAAGATGAATGAAAGATGACTTTTCTTCGGGATTACCAAGCTGAGTCTTTATCAACTTTGTTTGCCGGGTATGCTGCATATTTAGGGAGATTTGGCTAAATATTGCTTTTTTAATAACATGTTATAAAAATATTGCAGATCCCAAATGATTTGTCACAAGTTTAACCAATGATTTCGTCTTTAGTATGAATAGTTGAACGGAGACAAAATCACGTGATAAACTTACGATTTCTTTTTTTTTTTTTTTTGGGATCAGCGTGTTAAAATTATAATTTCACCTCAAAATCATATATATTCAACATGTGATTTTAACTTTGCTATGCTGGCAAAGTTGCGAAGTTGCTATTTAGTCAACTCAGCATAAATTTAAAATTTGAAGATGCAATTAAATTTCCAATATGAATGTGAGCTGAGCTGAGCTAAGCTAACCTAAACGAGTCCTCTAAATCTTCAACTTTCCAAATCAAATCGTGATTTGAAATTACACTTTAAAAAAAGTGTAGTATTTTGCCAAAACAATTGGAAATTACAGCATCTTTTTGCAATTTGTTATTAAAAAATCAATTTTGAGCCAAATCACAGTGCATACATACATACCCATTGCCGATTTGGTAGCATGGATCAAAATCAGACCCTAGCTCAGTGACCCAACCTGGCAAATAAAGGTCGTGCTAGTGGCAACCCAATTGGCTCTGTCAATAACAAGAAAAAAATGCAAAAAAATTAGAATATAAATACAATTTCACACATTCCAAAACATTTTTTTAAATATATTTGTCAAGAAGCTGAACTGTGTCAATCAATTCATACCTTCTAGGCACAAAGCAAAGCTATATCTGAAACCATTGCAAAACAATAAATCGAACACTAGGTACAAACTCGAATGGCACATGAATCAATCCCCCCCCCCACCCCCCCCCCACACAAAACCAAAAAAACGGAGAGAAAAAAAAACCAAAAAAGAAAAAGAAAAGAGAGAGCATACAGTTATTAGAGGTAAAACCCATACTTGCGATAAACTAATACAGTTTTCCAAGAATTATGCCAATGATGATAGACACTAGGGCCACACCTAAAACGAACTTAATGCTAGTGATAGGAGACGAAACCTCGGTGGTTTGAGTAGGGGCCTCTGAGGATGGAGTTTGTGCAGACGTAGCTTCTTGTTTTTTCTTACTCTTCCGTCTTGATGGAGTAGAAATTGTCGCTCCAATGTCTCTAGATTTCACCTCCACTCCATCCTTCGATTGAATTGCACTGCTTCCATCATCACCCTGCAACACAAAATATTGTCATTGTCAACAGCAGCAGCAGTAGCTGGTTAGATTTTGACTGAAAAAATAATCTCAAATGAAAATGATTAGAATTTAAAAATAACATCATTTAAATTTGTTTCACATCATAAATGGTAAAAGGCAGATCCAACTACGTTTTTCTCGTCACTAATTCTCAAAAAATTGGGAAAATTCCTATCTTCTTCACCAAAACCCAACACATCATTGCATGTTCCTGTGAATGGCATAGAAGTGAACATGTTATCAGCCGAAACTACTGCTTATATCCAAGCTATGCTCTTTCTTACTACTAATTCATTATAGGCCTGTGACAAGAGTCTGCTCGCACAATTGGAGTCCCCAACACTAAAACTTGAATAGAGATTATATATAATGTAAACCATGGTGCAAAGCAGCATAAAATTGGATTTGGCCTTTTGAATAACAATCAAATGCCAAAATTGATGGAAATGTCATCATGTAAGCATGATGGATGAGTGATTAGTGAATGTGTGTGTGTCATAAATACTTGGGAGGTGTCTCAACCAATTTAATAAGTTGTAATATCCTATGACGTGGATGGTATATGATGAGCCAAAATGATATATAGAGCAATAGAGAGAGAGAGAGAGAGAGAGAGAGAGAGAGAGATGGCTGGGGTGGGTAGGTGAATTTTTGAAGAGGGGGAGAAACATGGATGAAAAATAAGAAAGAGAGATGACCTCAGAATTTCATCAAAAAGAAAAAAGAAAAAAAAGGGCTGCCTGGAATATCATTATCCAGGCCGTCCATGGGAGCATTTAGCTATGTGACATTGCTAAATGAAAAGAAATGGAGGTCATCCAGTTCCATGAGAACTGGAGAAGAATCAAACCCAGATTCAACTCTTGTGTGATCAGTGATGCATAATAGAGTAGTATGTTTTGCTAATTCAAAGCAATATGCACGAATGCAACAGAATTTAGTTTGTAATGTACCGCCATCCACCTACTTTTCTTTGAACATGTAAAATAAATTGATAGAGAGAGAATAAATTATATGTATTATTGATTGATTTAATGTTATATTTATTACAATGATTGATTGATTTAATGTTATATTTATTACAATGATTCATGATTCCTATATATAGAAGAGGGTGAGTGTGTAGTAGGTAAGGAGTAGGTGAAGTGGAGGTGGTAGTGGTGTAGTGGGTTAGGTTTAGTGGAGTAGGTGAGATGGTAGTGGTGTAGTGGGTTAGGTTTAGTGGAGTAGGTGAGATGGTAGTGGTGTAGTGGGTTAGGTTTAGTGGAGTAGGTGAGATGGTAGTGGTGTAGTGGGTTAGGTTTAGTGGAGTAGGTGAGATGGTAGTGGTGTAGTGGGTTAGGTTTAGTGGAGTAGGTGAGATGGTAGTGGTGTAGTGGGTTAGGTTTAGTGGAGTAGGTGAGATGGTAGTGGTGTAGTGGGTTAGGTTTAGTGGAGTAGGTGAGATGGTAGTGGTGTAGTGGGTTAGGTTTAGTGGAGTAGGTGAGATGGTAGTGGTGTAGTGGGTTAGGTTTAGTGGAGTAGGTGAGATGGTAGTGGTGTAGTGGGTTAGGTTTAGTGGAGTAGGTGAGATGGTAGTGGTGTAGTGGGTTAGGTTTAGTGGAGTAGGTGAGATGGTAGTGGTGTAGTGGGTTAGGTTTAGTGGAGTAGGTGAGATGGTAGTGGTGTAGTGGGTTAGGTTTAGTGGAGTAGGTGAGATGGTAGTGGTGTAGTGGGTTAGGTTTAGTGGAGTAGGTGAGATGGTAGTGGTGTAGTGGGTTAGGTTTAGTGGAGTAGGTGAGATGGTAGTGGTGTAGTGGGTTAGGTTTAGTGGAGTAGGTGAGATGGTAGTGGTGTAGTGGGTTAGGTTTAGTGGAGTAGGTGAGATGGTAGTGGTGTAGTGGGTTAGGTTTAGTGGAGTAGGTGAGATGGTAGTGGTGTAGTGGGTTAGGTTTAGTGGAGTAGGTGAGATGGTAGTGGTGTAGTGGGTTAGGTTTAGTGGAGTAGGTGAGATGGTAGTGGTGTAGTGGGTTAGGTTTAGTGGAGTAGGTGAGATGGTAGTGGTGTAGTGGGTTAGGTTTAGTGGAGTAGGTGAGATGGTAGTGGTGTAGTGGGTTAGGTTTAGTGGAGTAGGTGAGATGGTAGTGGTGTAGTGGGTTAGGTTTAGTGGAGTAGGTGAGATGGTAGTGGTGTAGTGGGTTAGGTTTAGTGGAGTAGGTGAGATGGTAGTGGTGTAGTGGGTTAGGTTTAGTGGAGTAGGTGAGATGGTAGTGGTGTAGTGGGTTAGGTTTAGTGGAGTAGGTGAGATGGTAGTGGTGTAGTGGGTTAGGTTTAGTGGAGTAGGTGAGATGGTAGTGGTGTAGTGGGTTAGGTTTAGTGGAGTAGGTGAGATGGTAGTGGTGTAGTGGGTTAGGTTTAGTGGAGTAGGTGAGATGGTAGTGGTGTAGTGGGTTAGGTTTAGTGGAGTAGGTGAGATGGTAGTGGTGTAGTGGGTTAGGTTTAGTGGAGTAGGTGAGATGGTAGTGGTGTAGTGGGTTAGGTTTAGTGGAGTAGGTGAGATGGTAGTGGTGTAGTGGGTTAGGTTTAGTGGAGTAGGTGAGATGGTAGTGGTGTAGTGGGTTAGGTTTAGTGGAGTAGGTGAGATGGTAGTGGTGTAGTGGGTTAGGTTTAGTGGAGTAGGTGAGATGGTAGTGGTGTAGTGGGTTAGGTTTAGTGGAGTAGGTGAGATGGTAGTGGTGTAGTGGGAATAAAGTAAAAAAATAACATAAATTAAAAGATGAAAAGGGCAACCGAGTGGGATAGAGAGAGCCCCCCCCGTTTTGTTGTCTCGTTTCTTCTTTATTCTCCTCAAGAGAGAGAAGTTCAGGATTTGCCGCCCGTACAGGTCGGCGGCGCGTGCGGAGGCGATCGCGGCGGTGTCACGGAGGTTGTTGGTGGCGACGAATTCCGCCGCGCCGGCGGGGCGTCGACGGCCTTGCGAACGACGTTGAGGCCGAGTCTCCCGTTGCAGCGGTTCAAGCTGCTGCAGAGGTTATTCTTCCCACTGCCATGACTCAGGTGACAGGTGAATGGAAGGAGGAAGTTGCCGTAATCAAAATTCAAACGGCATTCCGTGGATATATGGCAAGAAGGGCATTGAGGGCTTTGAGAGGGCTTGTCAGGCTGAAATCAGTGGTACAAGGGACTCCTGTGATACGGCGAACTTCGAATGCTTTAAGATGCATGCAGACTCTAGCCCGTGTGCAATCTCAGACCCAGTCCAGAAGGATCCGGATGTCGGAAGAGAAGATCGACGGAGGGGGAGGTTGATGATGAAAAGTGGGAACCAACCCATGTGGGTGGAGGTGGAAACTTGTACAGAAGGTTCTTCAGGCTTCTGATCATAGAGATTCTCACTTGGCTTAGTAGTAAGCTTTCGAGCACCAAGTCCCCCAGTCTTTCCAGTTTTCTTTGCACCAAGAGGCTTTTTAACAGTAACTGTATGAGAAGCTTTAGGTGAAGCAGAGACATTAGGAACTTCTTGCTTTCCTGAGGAAATTTCTTTAGAAGCTTCACTGATCTTGACATCAGGAAGTCTATTAGAGACATATGCTGACTGAGAAGCGGTTTAAGTGGGTGAAGTAGGTGGAGAGTATGTGGATTTAGTGGGTTAGGTTTAGTGGAGTAGGTTTAAGTGGGTGAAGTAGGTGGAGAGTATGTGGATTTAGTGGGTTAGGTTTAGTGGAGTAGGTGAGAGTGGGTGAAGTAGGTGGAGAGTAGGTGGTGGGTTAGGTTTAGTGGAGTAGGTGAGAGTGGGTGAAGTAGGTGGAGAGTAGGTGGTGGGTTAGGTTTAGTGGAGTAGGTGAGAGTGGGTGAAGTAGGTGGAGAGTAGGTGGTGGGTTAGGTTTAGTGGAGTAGGTGAGAGTGGGTGAAGTAGGTGGAGAGTAGGTGGTGGGTTAGGTTTAGTGGAGTAGGTGAGGTGGTAGTGGTGTAGTGGGTTAGGTTTAGTGGAGTAGGTTTAAGTGGGTGAAGTAGGTGATAGGTTTTAACAGAACAATATGAATGCTATATACAAACCAAATAAGGCATACATATATATGTGTCTGTGTGTGTGTGTGCGTGCGCACTCAAGAATGAAAGTACATATATGTATGTTCATGTGCTAACACGTGCACACATTTTGGGGACAACATACCTTTTCTTTTGATTTAGCATCAGCTAGCTGTAATTTCTGCTCAAGCTCTTTCACTTGCTTTTCTAGAAATAAGATCACTTTGTTCTTAGCTTCAAGATCTTCCAAGGAACGCTTCTTCAGTGCAGCCACTTGTTCAAAGTCTTTTTGAGAATCTGCTTCTTTCTGTTCAGTTGGAAATCCAAATCCAGAACCAGTTAATGACACCCAAAAAGAAAAAAAAAATAAAGGCACAGTAATATATTATTCACAAGGCACTGACATGAGATTGTAGTTTCTGCCCTTCAAGCGTAAGCTCCTCTGTCAAATCTTCTATCAATTTCTTCGAAGAGTGATGCTGTTCCAGTATTCCGTCCTTCTCAGCAACTGTTGCAGACAACTTTGCTTGTAGATCATTTAGCTTGGACTCATACGTAGCCAGATCCTGAGTAAGCTTTGAATTCACCTCAGCCAGCTGTTCCCTCTCTTTTTCAAATTGGCCTGACTTGTTTTGCAGCTCTTCAACAATGCCTTCCAGACCCTTCAATTTCAAGAGGGTCTGTTCGAGCTCAACTTTTTGATTTTCTGTGACACCAGATGTTTCATGAGCTTGTTCTACATACATTTTTATCTGTCCTTGAAGTTCATTTAGCTTTGCAGTTAAGTCCTTAGCTTCTAGATCTCTTTGACTAAATTTCTGAATGGTTTCATGTAACTGTCTTTCATTCTCTGAAACCCGTGCTTCAGCTGCTAAATGAAGTTCAGATGCTTTCGAGTGCCGATCAGTTAATTCAGTAATAGTATTCATGTGATACATCAGTTGCTCAGAAGTGGCTTCCTTTTCAGTATGAGCTGAGTTCAGTGATTGTTGAAGTTCATTAACCTTGTTTTTCAGCTGTGTATTTGTCTCAACCAACAGTTCATTCTCTGAGAAAAACTGTGCAGCTTTCTCTTCTGCCTCCAAAACCTTTCTTTTGAGTTCTTCATTCAATGTCTCGAAAGAAACGAGTTTCATTGTAAAATGATCCAATTCTTCCTTCGCAGATGCGGATCTTTCAGCTGCTTCAGCTATCTGCTCTTCGTAAACCTTCACTTGATCTTCAAGAAACTTAAGTTTCTCAAACATTGACTTTGCCTCTGAATCTCGGTTGGTGAAGATTGTCATTGCTTCTTGGAGTTTCAGCTCTTTATCTCTTGATAGAGACTCATGTAGTGATTCAAGCTCTGCGTTTCTTGCAGTAGCTTGCTCTAACACGCTACCGTGATGCTCTAGTTGTTCCTCGGCAGACTTGAGCTTCTCCGTAACTTCACTTTCTCTCATCCCAGCAGCTTTGAGATCATTTTCAGTGCTTTCTAATTTCTGTTGAGTCAGATTCAATTCATTCTGTAAGACTTCGAGGAGAGTTTCTGTTTCAGCGAGCTTCTTGCTGAAATTTCCCAATGCATCTTCTAAATTTTTCTTCTCGTCTGTTGTGCCATTCAAGACATCAGTTAATTCTCTTTCTTTTTCAGTGGCCATTTGCAGTGCAACCTCAAGGCTCGATGCTTTTAATTGGAGTGCCTCTAGTTCAGCTTCAAGTTCAGATATCTTATCAAAGTGTTTGTTGGATTCAACTTCTACATCCCCATGTTTCTTTTCTAACGTGCTTATTTGTTCTTCAAGTTCCTGGATTCTGTATTTCTCCGCTTCAAGCAACAGCTCCAACTCTTTCACCTTTTTGTCAGCATCCTCTGCTTTCGAATGAGATACTTGGAATAAACCTTCTAGGTCACGGCTGCGTTCATGTGTCACATTGGCTCGTCCCTCTAGTTCAGCACATTTCTCAGTAACATTCTTTAATTCCAACTCAAGCTCAGAATTGCATGAAGATGACTGGTTCAAGGATGACTCCATCTGAGTTATGTTAACCTCATATTCTTGCATTTGGGCGCTCAGCTGTTTCTTCTCTTCCTCTACTTCTCTCAATGTGCTGCTGAGTTCAGAAATTTTTACAGCAAACTCTCTCAGGTCTCTTTCAGCATCATTTCTTTTCAGTTCTAGAAGATTTAGCAATTGCTCTAGCTCTACATTTCTCTGTTCTGAAGCTATGCAACGCGTCTCGAGCTCTCTCAGTTGCAATTTAGATTCTTCTGCTGCTGCATACGAAGCTCGTACTATGTCTTCCAGCTCAAGATTCTTTTGTTGGGCAGTTGTTGCTGCATATCCAGATTCATGATGGAGCTCTTCCAGAGATTTTAACTTTTGTTCCAGTTCAGTACTATTCACCAAAGCTTGAGACAAGAGAAAATCAGCTTTACAGAAGTTCTCATCTGATGATTGCAACTTCATCTCAAGATCACTGCATAGCTCCTTCATTTCAGCTGCATTACTTGTTAAATCAGCCACAGCAGCTTCGAGAGCTTCTTTGTCTTTGGTTACTTTGGAGAGCTCCTCCTGTATCATTGCAACCTGTGACTCCTGGATTCTCAACCCAGATTCTAGCAATTCCTTTGAATGCAGTTCCTCCTCCAGCCTGAGTTTGACTTCTTCCAACATGGACACCTTCGCTTGAAGATCTTCTTTTGTTGAAGCCAACAAATTATCAAGTGCTGATATATCTTCCTTTACCTGAGATTCTGAAGCCTTTCTCATATCTAATTCTTGGGTCAGTTCATGTATAAGAGCCTCCTTTGAAACAAACCTCTTTTCCATTTCCAGAACTTGTGATTTTGAAAGCTCTAACTCCTGTTGAACCATGAACAGCTCAGCTGTGGTACTCTTCAGTGCTTCTTGAACCTTCTGATTTTCAGCGATATTCTTGTACAGGCCCTTGATTTCTTCCTGCAGGGAAGACATCTGATCTTCCATTTCTTTTGCACTCAACTTGGCCAATCCAAGCAACCTTTCAAACTCTATGGCCCTTTTTGTTTCAGATTCGGCATGTGAACCACTTTGCTTATGCAACTCCTCAAACTTATGCACCTCACCAGCGGTTTGCAGCTCTTGCTCTAGCTCCCCCATCTTCTTTTTCGAACTCTCAAACTCAAGGCCCATATGGTCAAATGCTTCCTTCACATTGACCAGCTCTTTGTGCTTTGTTTCTTGAGCTTGTAATGCCTCTTGGAATGCATTAACCTGTAGATTGTATCTCTCCCCAGCTTCCTTGATCTGCTCCCGCAGTTTCTTGTGATTAAGTTCAAGTTCGTCATATTTCTTCCCACTTTCCTCCAGCTTCTCCTTTGTAAGCAAGACTTCATTCTTCAGCTGAGCATTCTCAGATTCAGAATGCTTTAGTGCTCCAGCTACTGTTTCCAATTCGAGTTCAAGTTCTTTCACTGTTTCTTGGGTTTCTAGAAATCTTCTGCTTTCAGATGAATTGCTTAAGCTTCGTTCAATGACAGATGAAGCACCAGGTGTTTCTGCAGTATGTGAACCATCCTTTACATATAAGGATTCCTTCTCTACTTTTATAAATTCTCCATCCAATGCTGTTTCTTCCTCTTCTTTCTTTTCTTCCTTTTGCACTTGCTTCAAGTCTCCTGTGAACTGCAATAAGAGTTTCTAATCAGCAGAACTTTAAAAACCATATATGCCACAAGTTTCGACAAGGACATTTTCCGCATGGAGATAGTCCAACCCAAAAATGCAATGATAAGTACCTCACTTAAGAGTCCAATAATTTATTATCAAGTGTTATGGAAATACATTCTAAAGATGACATGAATACCGTTCAACAAATTTTTTTTAGTGGTATGCCCTAAAATCCAGTCTGGGAGATGTTGGGATACTCTTTCGTAAAACAATTTTATCATTTAATTAATAAGAGGCAATGCTCATGATTATTATGTTACTTTCTATGCTATTGTTTACATGATAAGCCCATAGAATAAAGTTGAGAAAACATGAAGTTAAAAATTAAAATGAGACATTTATACTACTCAATACTTTATTTTTAAAGGTTTTTAGCCATAGGACTACTAACTAGGCATTAGTAATCCAGATAGACAACAGAGCAAAAAAAAGTAATCCAGATACACTAGCACAACAAGTTATACTTGCTGATTTGAAGGGTAGCTATTCTCAATTCAAGTCATTTGTGTGGGAATGCTAAAGAAAATATATAGGTACTTGTTACAAAACAAATTCACTGAGAGTGACTGACTGCTCATTAACGAAAAGTGACTTCTTCCATTTGTGTGCTGTGTGTCTTTCTACTTCTTTGTCTCTCTACACTATTGACTGTAAAATGGAAGAACTATAAAAACAAAACAAAACAAGAAAGCAAAATCAAAAAAATAGAAAGACACATAGCACATAGCTACCTTAGTGAGATCGGCACTGCTATCTGTGTTCTCAACCACCTTCATGACTGGTATATCTGGACTTGCTTGCAACTCTTCTTCCATATCTGAATGACTTGCACCTTATGGACTTTTCTTCCCAGTCTGAGCTGACATAAGCACATAATTAGATCAAGCATATAGCATGACTGGGAAATTACTATTAGAGCTGAGCTCAAATACAAGTTCAATTGTTCGTTAGTTAACCAAAAAATAAAGTTTACAGAGTCTAAAAAATTACTTTTTTCGTTTTGGCTGAATGGCTATAAAACTATATCCAACTAAAATTCTGCTGTTAGTGAGCCTTGCGACTAACTTAAAAACAACTATTGGAAATACATTTCAATCTGTAGATTGGGCTGAATCAAAGAACATGTAATGGGTCATAGTAGACCTTCTAAACAGTGATTCCCATGTACCACAGAAATATGAATTCCCATCCTAGGCAAACCTTCTTTTCATTTCTCCTTTTCTGCAGCAGAAACCTAACTACCTTCATTCAATGCTATAAAACTCAATCTCTATTAATTATGGTCCCCTACTCCATCTCATACTTACTGGCTAGGACATTGATCACAGCCAGAACCTTACACAATTAACAGGAAAAAGTAAATTTGTAGATTTAGAGAAAACATGCAAAAAGATCAAACTAGCAGATCTGAATTGCACGACTTCAAATTGGAAGACCACAAGTCATCATCAACATAGTTAGGTATATCTATTCAGAAAAGTAATCAATTGTTCCGAACCTAGATCATAATTAGATGCTTATCATCAAGCAAACAACAACTACAGTAAATCGCAACAAGAAAAAAAAAATGATTAATGATTATTTTAATTGAAATATCAAAATCTTCAACAAATAGTAGCAGCAGGATCGGCATATATGAACCAAAAACAAAAGAGATCACTTACTTGCTTGGACTAGAGAGAGTTTTTTTTTGCTTAGAAGAAGTGATTTTTCCCTTAATTATTATTGGAAGTGTGTATATATGTATGATTCTCAGATCATAATTTTAACAACTTCAAATTGAAATACCGCAAGAGATCTTCAACATATCTAGGTGTCTATTCAGAAAAAAGTAAATTTGCAGATTCTGATCACATCGATCAGAAAATGAAACAAACAACAACATCTAAAGTAAATAGAAACAAGAAAAAAATAAAAATATGATTAATGTTTATTTGAATTGAGATATCAAAATCTTCAACAAATAGTAGCAGTAGGATTGTAATATCATCGGAACACACGCACATAAGTATAATTCTCATCACTAGCAGATCGGAATTTCACACTTCAAATTGAAACACCACAAGAGATCTTCTAACATATCTAGGTATGTATTCAGAAGAGTAAATTCGTATAGATTCTGATCACATCGATCAGAAAACGAATCGATCATTCCCGAACCAGAGATCATAGTTCGATGCTCATAATCAAACAAACAACAAGAAGTACAGCAATTATCAACAAGAAAAAGAATACGATTGATGATTATTCTAATTGAAAGAGCAAAATCATCATACATGAACAGAAAACAGAGATCACTTACTAGCTTGGCTGAGAGAGAGAAGAAAAAGAACTGTTTGAGTGATCGGAAGTGACTTTTTTCAACTTAATCACTAGAGAAATTTTTCTTCTTCTTCTTCTTCTTCTTCTTCAGAATTGAGAACTGACGAGTAGATTTGGATTCAAAAGCACTTTTCAGACCGAGAGAGAATATTTCGCTGTAACAAAATGAAGAGGGAATATTTCTTTGTTTCGTATGGAGGCCGTTTCGGGTCCCACGTGTATACCAAGGCCAAGTTTGGCATTTACTAAATAATACAAAAAGTCAAAAAATCACTATCCTATTTAAGTCACATCATCTTATTTAAATCACATCACCTCTCTAATACATCATATCAAACCCAACCCAAACCCAACTCACATAAGCTAATAAGTCAAAAAGTGCACTTTTTTAGAACATCCCAAACCAACCCCAAGTAAAGTCAATTTTCACCGTAAATTACGATATATTTCACGATTTATTTAAACTACAAATTATTTTAAAAATTATATTCCTTTATTTAAAAATTTTAATTTTATAATAAATTATTCATTTTATTAACAATCCTTTAATTGAGTCTTCCTAATTTTTAATTGAGTCTTCCTAATTTTACTCTAATGATATGGATGAAAAAATAAAGTTTGTGAGTGGAGTGTAGAGGTATCTTCATATGAGTCATTATCACATCATTAAGGGTGAAATTAAAAAATCTTAATTAAGGGATGAATTATTTTTTATTAATAAATCACAAAGTCAATTAATAATTTTTATAATATTATAATATATTTTAATTAATAATTTAAATAATTTAATTATTTTTTTAGGTGAATAAGTCATAAATTAAAAAGATAAGAAAATACACTAATACAAGGGGCTTGCCCCAGGCCTTAACAGAAGCTATACAAAAACCACCGATACAACATACACTAATACTGCCCACATGTTCAGTACTGCCAACGTAGCAAAAAACTGCCACTACTAAAAGACTAGACTATGTATTTATCTGTTCATATCCGCAATGGCAATCAATACAAAAATGTACATCTGTTCAGATTAAACGATTTTAATATGCTCAGGAACCTGTAGAGGGTCAAAAATTAAGCTCTAAATTAAGTATGGGCCTAAGTGTTGATGTCGCCTTAGAAATGAAAAAGGAGCATGGGCTAAAGCCTAAGGGAAGTGGACCAACAGAAGGCTAAAGCAGGTCCGACCCGCCAAGGGTCCAAACAGACTCCACGAAGGAAAATGCCTAAGTCAAGTTGCAGAGGCAACACATGTAGCGGCAACGCATGCAACGGTCAAGCTGTGGAGGGAACACTTGCGGCGGTCAAGTTACTGAGGCACTTTGCCTCAGCGTCGCCATTACCCAATAATGTCAGTTCAGCCGCCATCTGAAGTTGCTAAAAGAGAAAGTCGAAGCAACTAAGTTGCGAAGGCGATACTCACGACGGTCAAGTTGCGGAGGCACTTTGTCTCAGCTCTGCCATTCTAAGTATTGTCAGTTCCGCCGCTACCTGGAGTTGCTGAAGGAAGGAGAGAATCGAAGCAACTAAGTTGCAGAGGCATTACTTGCAGCGCCCAAGTTACAGAGTCACTTTGTCGGCGCCATCTCCAATATTATTGGTTTTGCCATTTGAACTTGCCACAGGAAAAGACTGCCGCAACAACTATAGCGCCACAACCAACTTGCGGAGGGAACATCCTGCTAAGGTGATAGCAGCCTTTGGGAAAAGCTTCCTCTCTGCAAGTACAAGCTAATGCTTGGCGCTGATAACAGGCCCCAAGGTATTACTAGCCTAGGGCTAATAGCAGGCCCCAAAATTCATTAACTTGGCGCTGATAGCAAGCCCCAAGACTTGCTGGTTGGAGCTGATAGCAAGCCCAGAGATACCAGTTTACCACAGCAATCCTGCGAAGATAGGAGCAGGGTAGCCCGAGTGTAAGGGACTCCCTTTCTATTGCCCAGGTCATGGACCTGCCTTAGTCGCATAAACAGGACTAATGAAATCCCCTTGGGCTTGGTACTAAGGCACAATATGGCTGATAGTAGACTTGGTTGTGGCTTTCGCCCTGGGAAACTGGGGAGTTTGTGGTTAGGTGGCTAAGGGTGGAGCCTTCGTTGAAGTGAGCACGAACATAGTCGATAGCATAATGTCCTGAGAATGTATGTATTGGCCAAGTAAAACTGAGAAGGCAAGTGCAACAACAAGGTTTATTGTTGCAAGTGCACTTGCTGAGGTTCGAGCTAAGAAGGTAAGTGAAGTGGGAAACACTCCCGCCGCAGTTGCACTTCCTGAGGCTCAAAAAGGAGTTGCAGCGCCAAGCACTCCCGTCGCAACTACACTTGCTGAGGTTCAAAAAAAGTAGTTGCAGAGGCAAACAGATAGTACACAGTACATGTAGAGGGACACGTGGCACCTTCAGCCTAGTGGCTCAAGGCAGAATATTCCATGTGATCCTCTGGGACACATGTCCTCTCTCTATGTGGCCACTTGGTGTCCTTTTGGTACCAAGGAAAACCCTATAAATAGGACCCATTTCCCAAGGTTCAAATAAAGAGAGGACATGTATACACTGCCATACATTTCTTCTTGAGCTACTTGCTTCACCCTTACATAGCTGCTCACTTTCCATCTTCCCAGACAGTTGCTGCTGTTCATTCTCCAATCATTCCACCATTCTTGGACCATTAGCATAGTTTGGCCTCTCTAATCACCTTCTTAACCTTGAACCCCTCTACATTTCTGGCGACTCTGCTAGGGAGGTTGCTTTGTTGATGGTTCATACCTGCAGTGGCTTACACACTTCACTGGCAAAGATGACAGAGGATGAAGTTTAACAACCCCCATGGAAACAAGGCTCTTCCAATGGTGGAACAACACATGTAGAGGACCGTGACCACAGTGTTGTGATTGAGGTAGTCCAGTCACTCCAGGATACGCAGAGGGAGATCCTGACAGCCTTGCGAACTCTCACTGAGGCTATTATGGCCATGTCGTCTAGCCCAGCCCCAGCGCAAGCACCTCCACCTGTAGCAGTCCTAAACTCAGTGCCTAACCTGTTTCCTGAGGTTCGGGCTTCGATCCAGGTGCCTCCGATGGTACCTTAGGCAAACGGTACAGCCGTTGGTTCAGTTACCCAGGAGCAGATTGGTCCATTCTAACCCACTCATTTCATTACTCTAGCCAACGTATAAGTTGTGCAAAAGCAAGAGCGTAGAAAGAAGCAACTGCCATCTCTCCCAGACCTAGATGTGAAACCTTCATACTCTCAGGAGATATTGAACATGCCATACCCAACTGGGTATACAGTGCCCAAGTTTATTAAGTTTGATGGAAAACAAGGCAATGCCAGAGAACATGTGGTGAGGTTCATTGAAACCCTTGGTGTCCATGGCAGTGACCACTCTCTGCGCTTTCGGGAGTTCTCTAAATTAATTACTGAAAGGGCTTACTGCTGGTATGTGAATTTGGCTCCCAACTCGATCAAGAGTTGGGAGGAGATGGTGAACAAGTTCCACATGAAGTTTTCCCAAGTCCAAGAAAAAGTCACAACCCTCACACTTGTGCGAGATGTCCAAAAAGAAGGCGAAGATATACTAGACTATGTTAAGCGGTTCCAAGATAAGGCTATTGACTATCATAAACCAGTAGATGAGGCCTACTTAATGAACATATGTGTAGAGGATGCCATATGCAGCTACAAATTTTCTTGGTGAACCATAATCTGCCTACCTTTTCAGCCTTGGCTGAGGCAGCTAGGAACCTCAAAATCACTGGCCCTCTGCATAGATCTCGCAACAGTCATCGCTACTCCCACAGTAGCAGAGTTGCCGCGGTAACCTCTGTAAGAGGGAGCCTCTTGCAAGGGGCGGCGTCATCCTCTCAGAAGAGGAAGAGTTATAAGGACAGAAATCCATATCCTTGTAGCCTTGAGAATGTTAAGGCCTTGGTTAAAGAATGGGTAGCCGATGGTGAACTTACTCTGCCTTCGATTGATGACTCTTCAACCAAGAAGGACAAAGAAAGTCCAGATTATTGTATCTATCATAGAACCACCAGACACTTTACTAGAGATTGTTGGACTTTGAAAAGTATCTTCAAGAAGAAAGTTAACGCAAATGAGTTGAAGTTCAAAGATGCCGGTAATCATGATGTAAGGAAAGACCCTTATCCTAACCACAAAGAGAAGGAGAAGAATGTTTATATGATTGGGTACCTTGGGCCCATGTGTGATCAAGTGCACATGGCGTTCTACTATGATGAGTTAGAAGAAATCACTAGTAGCTAGCTTCCTGGGACAGTACCTGTAGAGGCAAAATTCGCAGAGGATACTCATGTTCAGGCCTTGTAAAACTCTGTTAAGTTTCGCACCTTTTTTGACCAGCTAGAGCTGAGCCAAGCCACTAGGCTAAAAGTAACAAAGGCCCTCATCAACATTTCTGAAGTGCTCCATGACGAAGTTGCTAAGGCCAAGGAGTATGTGCCTCGACATAGCTAGGAAGATTATGGGGCAATTACTTTCTCAGAAACAGACAGAGCATACCTATTTCCTCATAACCGTCTTCTTTTTGTCACATCTTACATCAATGATGTAGTGTTCAAGCATGCTTTCCTCGATGGTGGGGCATCCATAAACATCATCACTACTGACACCTTTGCAAAGGCTGGTATCCCAGAGTCTAGGATGGTTCGCTAACCCATCACCGTGACGGGTTTTAGTGGTGAGAAAAAAGTTACTAAGGGCCATGTTGTCGTGGACTTAGCAGTTGGTGAAATCCGTTCCACAACTAAGTTCCATGTGATTGAAGCGGACACAAATTACCATATGATACTTGGCAGAGCTTGGATGCACCGATATGGGGCTATGTCGTCAAGGTATCACCAATGTGTAACGACCCCATCACATAAAATGATTCGCACTTAATTAATTAAGGAGATTTGAATTTTAATTGCCAATTATTCTAATTCAATTGGAGATTTATGAAAATTATGGAAACTGATTCGTATGTGATTCTATGGATGATTTATTTTGGAATTAGAAATTGAAAGCTTAAATGGCTCAAGATAGTACAAATGGTGAATTGAATTATTTTAATTTCGAGTATCGGACCATATGAGAGTTCATTTAAATATTTGATTTAGATTTGTAAAACAGAGATTTGATTAATTGGGTCCGAAATTGGAGTTAATTA